ATTAGCATTATATATATATATATATATATATATATATATATATATATATATATAAATTATGCATTGTTATGTTAACTCAGCATCTGTGAGAGTCTGACTGTGTGTGTATGTGGTAGTAAAGCGTGTCTATGTAATTTACTCTTTTTTTTTTAACCATTAGAAATTTCAATGACATACTGCGATTTTATCAAAAGAACATTTATCAAAATATTTGATTATAATGTTCTAAAATCCTAAAGCACTCAACAAGATTTGCATTGCCTTAAAAAGAAAAACACTATTTACTGTGTTCCTGTGCATCAGGGCAGGATATCTACTTGTGCAGTAATTTCCCCATCTTGTCTCACTTTGTTTTTCCAAATTAAATGATCAACTGATTAACTGAAATAAATAATAACTTAATAGCAACATTTTTTGAAAGCAGGTCTTCATTTTCACTGCTGCATCATGCAGAGGTGAGTGAGTTTCTACATAATGTAGTAATTTATGAAGTCATGCTAAGAGTCCTAGTTGTTTATAAGAATAGCATACTTGACATGTGGGAGCTGTGGCACTTATGAGATGCAAACGTGTAATAAGGTGGTGCATTTGTAATAATTTAGTGTATTCTAACTTTCATTTTACTCATTACAGATAAATGTTGCAGGCACCGCATTAGACAAAAACAAGAAAGGCTCTCTACAAGAAAGGTCAGAGCAGACTTTTCCTGCTGAGGAGACTGAGGTCTTTTGGAGTGCAGGGGGCGCTCCAAAGACCTTCTATGACTCTGTTGTGGCATCAGTCATCTTCTTTGGAGCTTTCTGTTGGAGCAGTAGCTTATCTGTAGCTGAGAGAAAGCGTTTGGATAAGCTAATCAGTAAGGCCAGCTCTGTGATTGGATACCCTCTGGACTCAGTGCAGGAGGTGGGAAACGAAAGGACCCTAAATAAATGAACATCTCTCCCACCCCATGCATGAAGCTGTCGCAGAACTGGAGAGCTCCTTCAGTGACAGACTGCTGCTCCCTAAATGCACCAGGAAGCGTTATCACAGTTTCTTCCTCGCAGCACCTGTAAGACTTTATAACCAGCTCTGTTCCCAACAACCTTAATAAGTTGTTACATTCATGCTGATTCTTTGCAGTTTATGTCTTAGTCAGTTAAAAGACATACTGCTGTCATTTCTTTTTTTTCTTTCTTTCTTTTTTTTTTTTTTTTTGCAACTTTCTGGTGTTGTTGCTATTTTTTTCACATATCCATTACTGTAAAAATGTCCACAGCTGGTAATTGATTTTTTTTATCCTCCAGATACAGAGTATTATATTGTAAAACACTGTACAGTACAATACTATATTTGTTTTATTCTTCTATCTGTTATTTGTGTACACTTTTCAAAGGTTGTGTGACCACCTCTACTATAACTTTTGGTGCTGTAAACACAGCAACACCACCATTGTGGGACAATAAAGGGGTTTTCAGTTTAATTCTAAAAACCTGATTACAGAAAAGTCCAAATGTTAATCTTTGTACATCCAGGATGATTAAAAAGTGTTACTTGGTGTGAGAGTGATGGAAACGTGAAAAAAATAAAAGTGAACATAGTGTTTCTAAGCCATACCAGTGATATGTGTTTTTTTCTTTTTACTTTGCAATGAAAAGAAAACAGAAAATGTCTGTTGTGTTTTCACAGTCTTGTTCATGATTAAAGGCTAGCTGCTCATCTCTCCCAGGGTCATACAAGCAGCTTTGCTGCGTCTGAGAACCTGGTGTCTTAGAACCTGGTGTGAGAGCATCATAAGATTTCAGACTAATGAGCAAACTCTCAGATGGGCCCTAGAGTGTGTTGCTCATTTTTCCTGTTTTCATCTGGGATTCTCTTTGCTACTTTTTTTTATTTCATTGTATGAATCAATCCCAACAGCCTGTATTGAGCCAGCTCACATACGCATCTTTCACACCATATAAAGTTAACACCTCCCTTAGGGCAACTAGACATCCAGGGATGACAGACAAGAGACCGCTTTCAAGAAAGAAGCTACAGTTTGGTATTAAGGCTTGTTTCTGCTGCAGCCTTGATTGCTTTCCCATGCACTAAATTGAATTCGAGCTTGAAATCAATTTAGAGCAGAATGTGAGCAACGGACAGAGATTTCAGGCCAGTATTTATTAGAGTAGTTGTGACATGATAGATTTTATTCACCTTTATATATATATATATATATATATATATATATATATATATATATATATATATA